GAGCAATATTAAAAATATTAAAAATAAAAATAAATAAAAAATACTATGGGATAAATATAGGATTTTAAAGAGTAGAAGCAGTTGCGCCGTTTAAGCTGCAGGGGACAGCACTGAGCTCATAGAAAATAAAACCCATTTTCAACCAGAGAAAAAGAAAACCAGGAAGCGAGGAGGAGGTGCTGTTAAAGGTTAGCTGTGCAGTTTGTAAACATTATACAGTTATTGTACGATTAAAACCGTAACGTGTTATATTAGCAGTGAAGTCGTGCAGTGTACGGAAATGAAGAGAAACCCGCTAAATGAACGCTGCTAGCTTTTACCATTAATGCAGGTCCAACAGTGAGATACACACTACACAACCTACACACACTACACACCCTCTGTAATTAGTTTGAGAGGCACTAGCTGTACATTTCACAGCAGTTAAGAATGTAACAGTGATGTGTTACAGTCATTTCCACAACGCCATTATACAATGACTGTCAAGAGCCACAGAAGCACCACGAACACAACAGTATTGCCTTTTTCACAGCAGCGGTAGCAGAAAAAAACAGCAGTAGGTCCGAGGCCATGCTGGCTAACACTTAAATACAGTGTAGTCAGTGGGTAATGTAGTTCACTGTGTTAATGCTTCTGCAGTAATGGTGTTCTCTGTGAAAAGGCCTGTAGTCTTATGTGTCCATGGCTTCACCAGTACATCACATAGACATGTATCCTTTTACACACGTTTCCATTCACATCTGCCTGACAGTTCAATGAAAGGACCCAGATAAACACTTAGCAGTGATTTAAAGAAGTGTTCAGTTACAGCCTCAATTTCTCTTTAACACACACACACACACACACACACACACACACACACAACAACAAGCTTATTGGCAGCTTGGTACTTTTCTGACAGCACAGTTTCCTGTTATTAGTTGAGCTAAATACAAATAATAGATACACGCACAGGCTGTTTGTGTGTGTGTGTGTGTGTGTTTAGGCTTTTTGGATTGGTATTAAGAGCATTAATTGTACCTTCGCATTGATAACTACATGACAGAAATCCAAGCATGTCTAAATAATAGGGGATCACACATTCACAGAGCGATAAAATACAATCCCAAAATCTGTATTCTAGGCAGGAAGTCATAAAGTCTGGGTCCAAACGGGTCAATAATCCTCTCAGTTTGTCCTGATACAGGTTTGGCAGTAATCTGATAAATTCTGCCACTACCGATGTGAATTATGATTATGAACGTATAATCTCCACAATAATACATTATTATGACAGAATAAGCTTTTTTAAACCGAGCAAAGCTCCATTTACAGCGGACCTCAGTCATATTTGGCAGTTTAGAAAAACATAATCAGACACTGCGCTCCAAGCAGCTCTTATCTAACAGCGTACTTGGTGGCTGCCGGTTTTGGTGAGGACTGAAACCTGTTGAAAATATCCTGTGTTGGTTATTTGGCTGTTTTATGTTTCTTCAGAGTAAGAGAAAGTAGAATTTCACTAATCAACTAACCATCATTGTTGTGTGAGTGAATTGCTTTAAACAATATAGAAAAATCTGAGCCTCAGATGAAATGAGGGCCCAAAGCATATACCGCTGCGTCTCTACAAGCTATAAAGCATTTTTTAACCATCCATCCTCCTCTGCAGCTCTCCAGCATGGCGGGCAGACGGGCTCTGAAGGCGGTGCTCATTGACCTGAGTGGAACTCTACATATAGAAGACACGGCGGTGCCTGGAGCACAGGATGCCCTAAACAGGTAGGAAACACCCATCAGGCTAGGGACAGGCACAAAATTGAGGGTCTAGAGTCTGAACGTTTCTGTGTGAATGAAACATTGTCGTCAAGTCAAGTGGGAGCTAAAGGATACAATATTGCTGCCAGTCCTTTGAAGCACAGATATCTTCTAGGACTAGTGCATCTTTCATTTTCTTATTATAGATTTACATGAATTATAAATGTGTTTTTAACTGGTTTAATGTTTGTGCTTTGGTGCTGTCAGGTTACGGCAGGCGTCTGTAGCTGTGAAGTTTGTGACCAACACAACAAAGGAGAGCAAGAGGAACTTACTGGAACGCCTGCAGCGTCTTAACTTTGACGTCCAGGTAAAAACATCCATATTTCATTTAGTCCAGATGCTTTTATTGTAATGTTGAAAATAAACTACACAGAGAAAGGGGGTGCACTCCTCCTGCACTGATGTACTCCTAAACAAGCAGCTATATCTGTATTCCCTGAAAAGTCAGGAAAAAAGGTGGCACTCCAGAAGTAAAAACCTTTTTCCTGACTTTATTTTCTAAAATAAACTCAATTTTTACAGGAAAAAGAGATCTTCACTTCACTGAGTGCAGCGAGGAGTTTGTTAGAGCAGAAACAACACAGACCGCTGCTGCTGGTGGAGGACAGCGCACTGGAAGACTTCACTGGTACGGAGCTGTGAGTATGTGTGTGTGTGTGTGTGTGTCTCAGAGAGAGAGAGAGAGTGAGGGGCCGTGCATCAGTTGTTTAACTGTTGTAATTTTTATTTCCATTTTTATTTCTTTTCAAACTCATTTGTTTCAGCAATCAAATCAAACAACCTGAAAATGAAAAATCACTCTTTAGATATGGTTATTATTGTTCATCACACACTATTTTTCACCACCTTGGTTTATCTTAGCCACCATTTTTTAAAAGGTTTGTTACCTAAACCCAAACAGTGGCAATATTCAATGTTGAGCATATCCCTCAGTTTGAATAGTAAACTGACAAAATAAATATTACATAATTATTATCACTATTTGCCTTACTGAACAATATATTGTATATATCATTACATTCTATATATGAATTAAATTTAAAAAATGTAGAGCCCATATAGTTAACTTATTGTGACCAACACTGGAAATGAATCAGTTTAAATTTAAACAAAGAAATACAACAATTTGTGAATCTTGCTAAATGAATAATCATATCAAGATTAAAACTGATTAACCACTACTACTGTATATAATAGTAATAGTCTTTCCATCTCCAGGTATTGACACATCAGCACCAAATGCTGTTGTCGTTGGACTCGCTCCTGATCACTTCAACTACCAAACACTCAACAAGGCTTTCAGGTGGTAAACTCATTCAAAAGACACATTCTTCGGTCAGTCACAGAACATTTGAGTTGCACTAATTGAAAGGTTTTCCTGGCAGGTTAGATCATCTATTCTATCTAGTCTAATAATAGGAACTCCTTCTTTTTCTTGATTATTCTCTTTTCTAAGTACAGCCTGTTAATTATGTATATTTCTCCTCAGAATGATTCTGGATGGAGCTCCTCTCATCGCCATCCATAAGGCTCGGTACTACAAACGTAAGGATGGTCTGGCCCTCGGCCCCGGGCCCTTTGTGACGGGGCTTGAGTATGCCACAGACTGTAAAGCTACTGTGGTGGGGAAGCCGGAGAAGACCTTTTTCACACAGGTCAGAAAGTGATAGTTTTACATGTTTTCACCTTTTTACTCTAGTATGAAAAGAGATGAGGCTTTTGTATTTAATATATTTTTTAAAGGGCTGTAATACACCTCATGATGCTTTCATTATACATTCTGTCCAACTGTTGAGTCCATTTTTAGTCAGATCTCTGTATTCCTTGTGTGGTTTTGATTGATTTTATTGGTATTGTCTGAATGTGTTTTATGCTGTTTGTTATGAGGCCTCTTATTGTCATTTGATTGTTTCCTTAAACTAGGCTCTGACTGATTTAGGATGTAGCCCAAATGAAGCTGTCATGATAGGAGATGTAAGTATATTGTCATTTTCAAGTACATTTTCAATATTTAGTGGAGACACATTTCTATACACAACGGCACGAAGAGTGTGGGGTGTTATTGGGAGTCCATTCACAACAAAAAGAACTTTATTTTTAAATATCATACAATATTCATTGAAAGATTTTTTTTTTGAGTCCGCTTTTCTTCTGTTGGAACTTGTTTGTGTTTTCCCACAGGACGCCAGAGACGATGTGGGCGGGGCTCAGAACGCAGGAATGTTGGGAATTCTAGTCAAAACAGGTAAGAACAAACTTCTCCCTCCAGTTAATTCTCATCTCTCCACCAGTTTCACTTATCTACTTCACTTTTCCTTCTCTACACTCTGACCAGAAATTGTGGTTCTTTTACTCTTCCTCATCTTTCCATCTTCTTCTGTAATGTCATTATAACCTACATATCAAAGTATTTTCCCTTGGATCTTAGCTACAGCATATACTCATCCAGTTGTGATGTTTATTGTTGTTTTTGTGGTTGACATTCTGTCCTGTCACCTCTCAGGTAAATACAGAGAAGGAGATGAGAATAAAATCAACCCTCCTCCACACCTCACATGTGACAGTTTCCCAGACGCTGTCGAACACATTCTGAAGAACCTGCTATAAGCTACAAGTAACAATAGAATCTTTCATTTGCACAAGAAAACACTTGAATTTATCATTGTTGAAGACTGTTGGTGTTTTAAGAGTAAGAAGGCAGAACGTTATTAAATGATTCCCCTCATCCCCCAAGATTAAGATAAACTAACCATTCTGTAATCATTGTCTGATTGTCACAAAATCAAAAATATACATTTGCAAAAAAAAAAAGTCCATTTAAATGTGGGACTACTCATTCCCCTGCATTTCAAAAGCACCCACGACCTGTTGCCATAGTAACAAAATGTTTTGTCATTATATTACAATGTATAAATATAAGTTTGAATGAAAAATACTCAGCTGGTAACTATTGTTTATTATTCCATTGTGCTTATGATCATTGTACAGATAAACAAAATAAAGAAAGACTCCATCAAAAATATTAACACTAGCTCAGAATATAAAGTTTTCAGGTTCTTGTTCAAGAGGTTTGTATTTGCACTTTATTTCAGTATTTTGGTTTTCAGTTTTTGTCTTTTTCCTTTCACCAGAATGAGGCTTAAAAAATCATTTAGGAGGCAAAAACGATGCCTAAAGAATGTGCAGTGTGGGGACATTCTTAATTGACTGATTTCAAATGACATCTAGCAGAAGTTGTATCATGGGGACACAAAGAGTTAATTATGATAATGTTCTCACTAAAGTAATGATGCAGGCTTTTGTAAGGCACGTTTTTGTAAGACAGTTTAAATGTCAGGGAGTGTATTGTGTTATTTAAGAAAGCCTTAATAAAGAGCACAATCTGTAACAGCAGTAGGTCAATTTGTATACATCAAGACAAACACTTCAGATGTGCTGTAGTGTTAGTATAAAAGTCTTTTTTTCTTATATTAAAATGTGTGTCAGACAGACTCATACTCCTTCTCCCAGGCTGCGTATCTGTCCATCAGGTTTCGGACCGAGGGTTTGGTGTGTGCGATGACTTCCAGGAAGTCAGCTGTTGTCACAGTTTCCAGCTGGATGGCAGGCATGTTAGTGTCTCCTGTAACACAGAGTCCTAGTGAGGCTATGCTGCTTTTATTCAGGAGCACTGGACAGAAAACATGGTTGTTGTAGGGGGGTTCGATCTTTATGTGGTATGTAGATTGTTGAACCACTAGGCCTCTGTGTGTGTGAGTGAGTATGTGTGTGTGTGTATTTTCCTACCGTCCTGATGTGACTCCAGTGCATCAAAGATCTTGCGGACTGGTCTCATGGCAGCCTCCTTACACACCAGTCGTATATCAGAGCCCGAGTAACCCTCCATCCTCTAATACACACACA